AGGCTGGTCTCAACCTCAGGTGGTCAGCCTGTCTTGGCCTCCCAAAGTTCTAGGATTACAGGCATGAGCCACCGCACCTGGCCAAACTTTCTCTTTCTTTTGAGACAAGGTCTTGCTCTGTCGCCCAGGCTGGAGCACATCAGTGTGATCACGGTTCACTGCAGCCTCGACCTCCCAGGCTCAAGTTATCCTCCCACCTCAGCCTCCTGAGTAGCCCACAGGTGCATGCCACCACACCTGGCTAACTTTTTTTATTGTTGTGAAGAAAGGAGGAGGGAGAGGGGAGTCTCATTATCTTGCCCAGGCTGGTCTCAAACTCCTGGACTCAAGCAAGCCTCCCACCTTGGCCTCCCAAAGTGCTGGGATTACAGGCATGAGCAATGATGCCCAGTCATCTGTAAACTTTCAAACTTCGCCTTGTATCAGGTCACCTGGGGATCTCATGCAGGTGAGGCAGATTCTGATTCAGTATGTCTGTGGTCTGGCCCGAGATTCTGCATTTCTGACTAGCTCCCAGGTGATGCCAATGCTGCCAGTCCATGAGTTACACTTTCAGTAGCAAGCCATTAGACAACATTCCCATCTTTCCTGACCCTCACTGCAGTGATGACTTTAAAAACAGGTGAAGTCAGGCTCATCAGGGCCTTGGATGCCAGGCTAAGGAATTCAGCGTTTATTCTGGAGGCACTAGGGAGCTGGGTGCTGGGTGCTAGAGGGGCTGAGCTATTGCAAAAACAGGAGGGAGGTGGCAAGGCTGAAGCTCAGGCAGAGGCAGTGGGAATGCAGAGGATGGTGGTGTCCTGGGCTGAACTGTGTTCCCCCCAAAAAATTCAGTGTTGAAACTTTAACCCCTAGTACTTCAGAAGGTGACTGTTATTTGGAGATAGGGTATTTAAAGAGGTAATTAAGTTAAAATGAGGTCATGGAAATGGGCCTTAATCCAATATGACTGGTGTCCTTAAGAAGAGGAAATTAGGACACAGATATGCACAGAGGGGAGAACATGCGAAGACAAGGAAAGTAGATGGCCATCTACAGACCAAGGAAGGGGGGCTCAGAAGAAACCAGCCCCGCCAGCACCTTGATCTAGGACTTCTGCCTCCAGAACTATGAGAAAATATATTTCTGTTGTTTAAGCCACCCATCTGTGGGACTTTGTTATGGCAATCCAAGCAAGCAAATAAATACAGAGGGGCTGGATTAAAGAGGACTGTCCAGGTTGTCAGTTACTTGAATGTCATTGTCGGGGGCTACTGGATTCTGTACAGGTGATTTGGAAATTGGGAAGGCCTGGGAAGAGAAGCCATGAATAGGAAGCTGGAGGAGGGGCCCAGCGGGAGGAGCAGGGCTGGGGAGGACTGGATTTGGACCAGGTTACATTGGAGGTGCCACTGGGACCTTGGCAGGTGCTATCCAGGAGGCTGAGGCTGGGCATGATGGCTTTCGAGTATAATCCAGCACTTTGGGAGCCCAAGGCGGGTCGATCACCTACGGTTGGGAGGTTGGGACCAGCCTGGCTAACATGGTGAAACCTCGTCTCTACTAAAAATTCAAAAATTAGCTGGGTGTGGTGGCACATGCTTGTAGTTCCAGCTACTTGGGAGGCTGAGGCAGGAGAATCGCTTGAACCCGGGAGGCGAAGCAGAGGGAGACTCTGAGAAAGAAAGAAAGAAGGAAGGAAGGAAGGAAAGAAAGAAAGAAAGAAAAGAAAGCAAATTGGAGGAGGAGCCCAGAGGGAGGAGCAGGGCTGGGGAGGACTGGATTTGGACCAGGTTACACTGGAGGTGCCACTGGGACCTCGGCAGGTGCTATCCAGGGGACTTTAGGAAATGAGGCCAGTGGTGCTTTCCGTTAAACCAGGCACTCAGGTGGTGAGAAGAAGGAAGAGAACAGTCCTGTGTTAGTGGGGGCCCTGGGTTTTAAATAAGCAAAACCGGCTCAGGCTAACTTAAGTAAAAAGGAATGTACTGAAGAGATTTCTGGAGGCTCACAGCAGCGATGTGAAGGCTCAAGGCCAAGCTTGGAAGGTGAGCTGGAGTCAAGGGAGACTGCTCTGCAGTGGGCATGATCAGGAACGCGTAGCAGGGCCAGCCTGGGAGGACCCTCAGGACTGCTGGGCTCTGCTCATACATCAATCCAGCAGTCTCCTAAGATTCAGAGATCTGGGGCAAGCATCCTATGGCCCACGCCCAGTCACATGTCTGCATCCTTGATGCCCAGGGGAGGTTTCCAGTGGGAGGATGCCTCTCCGTCCCTGGAAGACTAAAGATGGCTGCACACTCTGTGATACTGCTTCCGTGGAGAATTGGGCTCTATCTTCCTCTCCTGGCCTGTGACTGCTTTGGCCAATAGAATACAGTGGATGTGACACTATGCCAGCTTCAGGCCCAGACTTTAAGGGAACTGGCAGCTTCTGCCTTGACCTCTGGGAGCCCTGAGTCACTCCGTAAGAAGACTGACTGGAGAGACCACATGGAGATTACATGGGGAAGGGAGAAGGGCCCACTGCAGCCCAGCCTTCCAGCTAGCTCTTCCAAGACCCCAGTGTTTTATATATTTTTTTTTCTTTTTTCTTTTAGAGATGGGGGTCTTGCTATGTTGCCCAGGCTGGTCTCAAACTCCTGGGCTCAAGAGATCCTCCCACCTCGCCCTCCCAAAGTGCTGGGATTACAGGCATGAGTTACCGCACCAGCTGACCCCCATGTTTTAAAATGTACCCGGGATTTTGTTTTTATTCAGGTATGGCAAGGCCAACAGATCAGGAGATGACTGTTATTGAAAGACAGTTGGTTACCCACAGTTCTCAAGAGAAGGGGGCATGCCATGTCACACAGGGTCACATGGGGAAGCACCAGGGTCAGTCAGGAGGCAGAAGGAGGAAGGGGGAAGTGTGGGCCAGAGCCTTCGTTGTGGTTTTAGGGGGAAGGAATAGGCAAGGCAGGGTAGACCAGCTGGATGGATTTAGGACTGGTTAGTTTGAACAATTCCCTTGGGTTCTGGGCTATAGGGGTGGTCCCTAGTTGTCTAGTACCTGAGCAGGATGATCTAGGATGGGGGATAGCATCCTGAACTGCAGGAGCTGGTAAAAGGAGGTAGGAGGTGGATGGGGGTTATGAACTCAAGATTGGTTGGTTTGCACATTAAGAGGTGCCCCCAGGCAAGATTGCCATCTCTAGGAATTCGCTGTCCCTAGGAGGGGCAGTCCCTCTTCAGGTGCATAAGGCCCCTGGATGTCAAAGCATCATAAAATACAGAAAAGGAAAAACATGATTAATACGCCAGGCATGGTGACTCACACCTGCAATCCCAGCACTTTGGGAGGCTAAGGCAGGAGGATCACTTGAGCCCAGGAGTTTGACACAAATCTGAGCAACATAGTGAGACCCCATCTCTACCAAAAACAAACAAAAAATTTGCTGGGTATGGTGTTGCACGCCTGTAGTAGCAGCTACTCAGGAGGCTGGGGCAGGAGGATCACTTAAGCCCAGGAGTTAGGGGCTGCCATGAGCTATGTTTGTGCCACTGCACTCCAGCCTGGGCGACAAAGTGAGACTCTGACTCAAAAAATAAAAAACAAAATCATGATGAATCCATCCAGGAATGGGAGTAAAACACCTTGGACTTTCCAGTCCACACTGAGCCACCAGCTGACTCCCCCAGCTGAGGCCTCAGGCATCATAGAGCAGAAGGAGCAGCCCTGCTGTGTTCTGTCCAAATTTCTGACCTACAGAATAGTGAGATACAGTCACAATAAATTGTTGTTTCAGAGTCTTTAAATTTCGAGGCCGTTTGTCATACAGGTGTAGATTTCTGGAACCCCTCCAGCCCCCAAGACTCACTCATTAGCAGATTTCTTCCCAATCTCAGAAGTGACTTGGGAAAGATAATTTCCTGATTGGTTGAAGACATGACTCCTACGACCATATAATGAGCTTAATTTTAACTCCCATTACAAAGATGAAGAAACTGAGGTTCAGGGAGGGAAAGTCATTTACCCAAGGTCACGCAGTACAAATCCAGGTCTGCCAGATTCCAGCATCCAGCCCCTTCCACTGCACCAGCTGTCACCTAGTTGGCCTCTTCATGAAGCCCATGGTTGGAGCTGAGAGAGCCTTACGGTCGGTCTCCAAACCAGGCCCCGCATGAATCTCACCCGCCCCCTTTCCTTGTGCTCCCCGTGTTTTCCTATTGGAGAAATCCCGAATTGCCTCTCATCAGGAGCTGGGCTGGAACTGCTACTTCCAGACCCTGGGAAGCTTCGAGTGCTTCCCTTCTGCTGGCTTTCCTTGCATCCACGCAGAGACTGTGCCATCTTCCCTGCATCCCAGTGTCCCCGGCTTCAGGTGTATCAAAGTCCCAGCGCTGTGTGAAGTTCAGGTTCGAACACATCTCAGCAGGCTTTGTGAATACATTAGTTTTTGTTTTCCCCTAACATGCCACAGGGATGGGGGAAATGGGAGGGGGCACTGGAATTTAATATGCAAATATATGCAAATCACATCTAAATGAGGGTGTCCCAGGATTAATGGAAAGAACAGGCAATCAGAGCAGGCCCAGCCCAGCCTGCAGCCCTGGGGCTCTGCGGCAGCACAGTCGGAAATGACTCTCCCGGGAGGGTGTCTTGGGCTCTTTTTCAGAGCGTGTTCTTTGAAGCAATGTCTCCGCAGCACAGGGGAAGGAAGAGCTGCGGAAATTGGTTCTGGATACTTCCTGACAAAGTGTGCTCAATTGCTTCAACTATGTTGGGGGTGGGTGGGAGAGAGGGGGTAGAATCTCTGAACCTCTCAGTGAACACAGCCAGCAGCGACTGTCCCTGTCAGTGATTTCTAAACCAAAGGAGCTTGCTAACATCTACTTCCAGATCATACTGATTACTAAATCAGAATCTCTTGAGAATCTTTGTTTTTTAAAAGTCCCCGGCCTTAGGAAATACTGACACAAACCAGGGGTTCTTAATCTGGAGACTCTTACAGGTTCGGAGGCCCCATATAGCAATGTTATTAACCCTTCCTGCATATTAGAATCACTGAGGCTTAAAAAAAATCCCCAATGCTCAGGCTGCACCCTAGACCAATTAAGTCAGAATCTGTACGAGGGGAGGTGAAAGTCAGGCATCAGTATTCAAAAGAAAATCCCAACTGATTCCAATGTGCAGTCAAATTTGAGAAGCATTGCTGAACAGGATTCCCATGAGACACTTGTTATTACCTGTGCTTGCTTTGGGGCTATCATTAGCTGCGGACCCGCCACCCGGTGCCACCTTCAGGAGACCCTCCTTCTAGGACGGGGACCATAGTCAGGATTGGTGTTCAGCCGGTATGCACTGGTATGGCAGCATTGGTTGTAAAAATACTGAAATATGGCTGGGTGCAGTGGCTCATGCCTATAATCCCAGTACTTTGGGAAGCTGAGGCAGGTGGATAACTTGAGCCCATGATTTTGAGACCAGCCCGGGCAACATGGCAAACCCACTTCTATAAAAATTGCAAAAACTAGCCATGTGTGGTGGAGCCTGCCTGTGGTCCCAGCTACTTGGGAGGCAGAGGTGGGAGGATCACTTGAGCCTGGCGGGCACAGGTTGCAGTGAGCCGTGACTGTGCCGCTGCACTCCAGCTTGGGCAACAGAGTGAGACCCTGTCTCAAAAATAAAATAAAATACTGACATATTTCCCCATCCACTTGTAACTGGGGTTGCTTTGAACATTCTAAGTTCAAAGCATCACCCTCCCCATCTCCCCAGACCCTGGACCTAATCAATTCTGACTAGTTAGGGCTCCTGAGGAGGTTGTTAAATATTTGAACATCACCCCCTGCTATAATATAATAGTAGTGAGAAGCACCCGCTTTATATAGTCAGAAAGGCCTAGATTCCCACTAGATTTTGGTATGAGCTGTGTGGCTTTTGGACAAGTGGCTTCATCTCTCTGAACCTCAGTTTCCTCATCTGGAAATGGGGTCAAATGCCCTCCCTATCAGCGTAGGGATGAAGCTGCACTAAAGCAGAGGTTGCAAACTCAGCATGCATCAGAATTACTTGGCTGGGCCGGGCGCAGTAGCTCACGCCTGTAGTTCCAGCACTTTGGGAGGCCGAGGCCAGTGGATCACCTGAGGTCAGGAGTTCGAGACCAGCCTGGCCAACATAGTGAGATCCCCCTCCCCGTCTCTACTAAAAATACAAAAATTAGCAGGGCATGGCCACACGCACCTGTAGTCCCAGTTGCTCAAAAGGCTGAAGCAGGAGAATTGCCTGAACCTGGGAGGTGGAGGTTGCAGTGAGCCGAGATCATGCCACTGCCTTCCAGCCTGGGTGACAGAACAAGACTGTCTCAAAGAAAAAAAAAAAGGCCAGGTGTGGTGGCTTATGCCTGTAATCCCAGCACTTTGGGAGGCCGAGGTGGGCAGATCAAGAGGTCAGGAGTTCAAGACCAGCCTGGCCAATATAGTGAAACCCCGTCTCTACTAAAAAATACAAAAATTAGCCGGGCATGGTGGTGGGCCCCTGTAGTCCCAGCTACTCAAGAGGCTGAGGCAGAAGAATTGCTTGAACCTAGGAGGCGGAGGTTGCAGTGAGCGGAGATCGTGCCACTGCACTCCAGCCTGGGCGACAGAGCAAGACTCCCTGTCAAAAACAAACAAACAAACAAACAAACAAAAACTTTGGCTTGTTAGGTCAAAGATTTCTGGGCCCCACCCCGGAGTTCTGATTCAATCGTTTTGGGATGGGGAGGATTTGTGTGTCTAAGTTCTCAGGTGCTGCAGAGGCTTCTGGTCCTGGGACCATAGTTTGAGAACCATTGAACTGGAAGATGTATGAGAAAGTGGGCTGTGCCAAGAGTAGAGGCTCAACCCAGGCTTGGAAAAGGGTCAAAATATGTGCCAGTTTCCTGTGTGCCACATGGACTTCTCCCCGCTGAGCCATTCCCCAGGGTTCTCTCCATCCATTTGCCCAGTAGGGACTGAGCCCCTGCTGAATGTTTAACCTTGAATTTATCGAAGATTAAGTCCTCTTCCCACCACTTCCCCATTGTGAGCAGGACCAGATTTACACCTTTAGTGGCTGTGATTACTGAAAATATGGTGCCCCTCCCATCTGTTGTCCAAAGTAAAACAACACCAAACCCTGAAATGACTT